GCCAAACCCCCCCCCCCCCCCACTGCAATGTTTACAGTGACAGTAAACTCAGGAGTTTAATCTTAAAAATGCATTCAAACTCCTTAAAGTAGTATTAAACTCTCTCTTTTTTTTTTGCATATATCAACTGCTAGTAAAAAAATAAAAAAGATACCAACTAGGTAATTACATACCTGTGTCTCCGCCGCTCACTCCTGTCTGAAGATCTGAAGATTCTCAAGCTGCCGTGCAGGATGATGGGGCAGGCACATGTGCAGTAGAGATCTTTGGCCCGGAGAAGAGGAGAGACACAGTGTAAAGGTGCCCATACAGCTTGCGATTATCGTACGATTTTCGTATGCGATCGACTTTTCGTCCGATAATCGTATGTGTGCATTGCAGTGTCCGACCGACAATACTGTACAATCGTACGACTTTTGACGGTCAAGCGTGTTTAAAAAACTTTGCTAGTTCGTACGATTTTCGTAAGGTTGCTGGCGTTTCCGTCCGTCAAAAGTCGCACGATCTACACTGCGCTTGCGCTAACGAAAATACGGCAAATCAATTGCCGCATTTCGTCCAGGTGCTTTTCGTTAATTACAGCTAAATTAATCTTGCGATCATCGGGGCAGGATGGGGCTGCCGTACGAAAATCGTACGACTATTCGATCATCGGACGAAAAGTTTCGTCCGATAATCGTAAGGTGTATGGGCACCTTTCGTCAATGTACGCAGCCGGGAGCGTGCCCGTTGGACAGACACCGTGGGACACAGAAGACAGGAGTCAGTGCTGGATCAGAGACCTGCACAAGCGCTGGAGGGACTCCTGAAAACTACTGCAAAGAAGATGATCAGATCAAGAGGCAACATTTATACTTTAACTATTAACAAAAATGTATCTCATTTGTGTATCACTCAGCTGTATATCCTCAAATCATCTCTGAATTGGTGCTGACACTGTCCTTTCTTCTGGAGGGTGGCTACTTTTTTCCCCCATGGTCCCTGTGTGTGTTGTAAAGTAGCCACTGATCCAAGAGCTTATTCCTGTGATGGACTACAATCTCTATACAATTTAGTAAACTAAACATGAGATTGTAGCTCATCTCCAGCCCTCCAGCTGTTCTAGAACTACAAATTACTTAAGGCATTGCAAGAATCTCACAGCCACAGTTATGACTCCCAGAAACAGATGCATCATGGGATTTGTCGTTTCAGCACAGCTAGAAGGCCAGGGTTTGCCCACGCCTGGTCTAGGGGCTAAAATAAAGGAAATGTACTCACCTGATCCTTAGTCCTGCTTGGCTGCTAGACTGGTCCCCGTAGCCTCATCTCCCCCAGGCTCTGGTGGTCTAAGAACCCGTGGTGTCCTAGAGCGGAGTGGAAGAGAGGTGAGTGGTCACTGACACGGCATTGAGGTTCACATAAGTATTTTTTTTTTTTACATTTTAGCCCCTAGACCAAAACAAGCAGTTAACCCTTGCAGTGCATTTAGCTGTAATTCTTCTGGTTGCTATAGCCAGAGATGAAGCTGGTGAAGCAGATCTCTGCTTCATCAGCTTCCTTGGGGGTCCCCGGATGGTACAGTTTTAAACAGCCGGCGATTGCTGTTTAAATACAAGCGATCCGGCGTCTATACAGGCGCCGGATTGCTTGTACAGTGCAACGCCGTGTGACACGTCCCCCCCCCTCCGCAGCCGCCGGTGCCGCCGTTGGCTTCCCGGGCTCCACTGTCCCTCATGTGAGCCCGGGACCGGAGTGGAGGGTCTCCCTTGATAGATCGGAGGAGAGATCAGCGTCTTCCAGGCGTTGAGCTCTGCTCCGATCACTGGTCCCGAAAGTGATGTGCATTACATCACATCCGCTGTCACTGGGCACAGTCTCCGGCTCCTAGAGCCAGAAGAAGCAGCTAGTGAAGCAGATCTCTGCTTCATCAGCTTCTTTGGGGTCCCTAGGTGACAATAAGGGTCTGAAAGACCCCTGATGTCTCCATAAAGAGGACATGTCACATTAGTTTTGCTATTACAAAGGGTGCTTGTTAGCCCCCTATGCAATAGCAATAAAGTTGAGTGTAAAAAAAAAAAAAATTGTAAAAATTAAAAGTAACATAAAAAATTAAACATTAAAAAACATTTTTAAAGTCCCCCACGTGCACGCACATACAGCGCAAACACTCGTCGGATGCGACTACGTGCAAAAATTGCACCACACGTTACATATCGCCGTGATCGTCGGAGTGAGAGTAATAATTCTAGGCCCATCAATCACTGTTAGCACTAAACTGATTACCAGTAAAAGCGTTTAAAGCGTTGCCTATGGGAAATTTTGGTTATTGTAGTTTTTTTGCGGTTTCTCGGATGCACGCAATTTTAAGGCTCGACATGTTTGGTATCTATTTACGGTCTTTTATATTTTACCAAAAATTGGGCATTATATTCTGTTTCTGTGCACTAAATTTAATTTTAGTCTATTTTATTCTAAAAATACTTTTTTTATAAACATTTGCGCAAATACGGTGCAACATAAATAATTGCAACTGGCATCTTTTTATTCTACAGGGCCTCTGCTTTCAGAAAATATATAATTGTTTGGGGGTCTGAAGCTGTTTTCTAGCCAAAAGTTCAGATTGTATCATGTGTGTGCAAATGTAAGAAATTGCTCTGGGCAGCAAGTGGTTAATATAGGGGAAACTGTTTTTTACCCAAAAATGTTGGTAATTTTTCCTTAATGTAGTCAAAAATAAAAGTGTCACTAGAGGTTTGCACTGGCTTGGCCAACTCGAGTGAAGTCGGTTTCCACCAAGCCCATGCACCTCTCTACTGATGATCTTCTAGGTCCTCCAGCTCTGTGCTCCCCTAGTATTCATATGCTTTCAAAGACTAGTGGAGCATGCAGCTGGAGATCAGAGGAGATTGCAAGGAGCTCAGAGGCTTGAAAGGCAAACACCTGTTGCTCTAGTAGCACATGCACAAGCATAAAGCTAGAAAGTTTGGTGAGTTAATGTCCAAAGAGGCGATGGTTTAAAAGTTTGAGCACAGTGACTGTACTATACCTAGGTCAGCATGGTGACAATTACCATATATGAAAGAGTTTGTGGTCTATTATTGATGCCAAATTTAGACTTTAATGTGCTTTTGTGCAGTTTTATAAATAGATTGCATTTTATTTACACTGAGAACACGTGTTTCTAAACTCCAGCAGGCATTATTTGTGAAAAGTGTCATGTTAGAGAATATTATTATATATTATTATTAGTGCACAGGTAACTTTTGTTCCATAATATAGCAATAAAATACCGACTGGTTGTAGCATTTTTATTTTTTGTCTGTGTTGCTGTTGGAGATGCACCATCATTCCGTCTCTAGTGGAGCCTGGAATAGCAGTAACATCCTTACAAAGGTTGTAACCTTTCCTGTATGTCCTTAGCACCTTGCCACCAGCCCTTTAAGTAGGAGTCTGGTGGGAGGGGCTCTTCAGAATTCCATTCTGTGATTGGCTGCACAGTAATGATGTAATTGAGAACCGTCCTACAAGCTCCTAATTGTCAGAACTTGTTTGTAACAGCTCAATCAGTGTTCTGGGGTGCCAATTAAGGGCGCTTACAGAACATCCATTGATGCCTATATGGGTCAGCTTGGCATTAAGGCCTACCTCTGACCAGTGACACAGTATTAAAAAATTGTAAAATAATGTAAAATATAAAACGCTGTATCCTTAAGGAGCACGGTACCGTAAATCTCATGTTTTTTAATAGTTATCATGTTACAGGACTTGGTCCTGGCGATTGGCCTCCCAGGCACCAAGGAATGTATTGTGGGAAGCAAGAGGAATGGCATATTTGCCCCATACTTGGAAGCGCCAGCTTTTTGCAATACATAAACATTTCTGGTTTTGGGTTTGGATATGCTTTAAAAACACATCAACTATAATGCAATGTTGACTAATGTTTATACCATGTGTTTGTGAGTGATAATTTCTCAATGTCTTCATGGCACAGCACACTTGCTGCATGTGTGTGTGTGGGTGTCCAAGGCAGGTTTCCTCTAAAAGGAAAATGTGTTTTTTTTACTTAGAATAACAAAGGGACAAGAACAAAGTAGGTGGGCTGGTACATTATGCTGGTTTCAGCTTCTGAAATAGGCACGTCTGATTTGGTTTAAAAAACATCACAAACCCTACAACAATTTAAAAAACAGAAAAAGGTGCTTTGGGTCACAATCTTCTTCATCTGCACCTTGGTCTTAACATCTGAAATAACATTTTAAAGAGAGAAGTGAAATTAAAACTTAGAAGTCTATTTATAAATGTTTCCACCCAAAATTCATACGACTTTCACCCAAAATGCTCACATTTTTCTAACTGTATTAGAAGAAAACAAATTTACAAAACTGTATGGTACTCGAAGGACAAGTGATCCTATATTTTGATGTTTTTTTTCCCAAACATTTTTTA